AATATATTTAAACTGAAATAGGATGTTAATGTATTGTTGGCAACTGGCTGTGAATTCATTTCATGAAATTGGATAATACAATGCCAACTTTCGTGATTATTCTGTGGCTAATTGTTATGTTGCGAGTCCATATTGTGACGAATCGTTGCATTACCCTATGTACTAAGTACTTTCCTCTACCTTGTTGTACACAGTTCATTATTATGGAATATGCTACTGTATTTCATATTATAACTTGTGACATAACCAGATGTACATCAGTTTGAAATTATATTGTGTATTTGGGCCAATGGCCTAGATTAGCATTACAAATAAACATGAATTCCGACTATTCATCTATAAGTCTTCAAGCATATTACCATATTCGCAGCATAATATAGCCATTTCCATTGCTTTCTGTTTTTGTTCTTCAGTGATGCTCACGTGATCTGTTGTTGACGGACGTGGCGGTGTTAATGTTGAAGGATTTATGGAACTTGTGGGAGAAAATGGCGATAACGATGATAAAGGCTCAGTTTCCACATATTTCGTCCCCCAGTTAAATGAAAGCATAGAATCAGCATTCATCACATTTCTGGCCGACCTTAGCATTGCTGTGCCTGCCATTTGGTTTGTTTCTTGAGGTAGCCTGTTGCTGTGACCATGCTACAAAAATAATACATTACAGTTATATATGATTGAAACAAGCAATTATCATAGTATTGCAAGCAATCAATAAGTCCCCTACCGGTTACAACCCCAACTTTCTGATGGGCCATTGGCCAGTCAATTTTACCAGTGAATGAATGACATGAATGAACTTAAATCTTTTGAGTTCTAAGTTTGTCTATATCACAGTAATGTGTTAAGTTTCCCTGCCTAGTAAGGAAATTATGTTTATACAACCTTGTCATATTATTACGATGTGGGATTTTAAAGTAAATCCTATAAGGAATGAAGAAGTTGGAGTGAAAAATACCAATTTCTCGAAAAAAATCTAAGTTCAAGGGGGACATAATTCTGGAAAATAGTCTTGCTAGAGTATTTAACCTTCTCAAAAATGTTGAGTGATAATAAGAAACATATATATGAAGTTTGAAGTAGATACATTAGAAAATAAAGAAGTTATTTAAAACAGACAACATTTTTTTCATAAAAATTCTAAGTTCAAGGGAGGTAATACTGATAAGTTTTGTGTTAGAGTTGTAAACCTTGTCACATATTATGTGGTTGATGACCAGAAACTTATATTTAAAGTTTGAAGTAAACACCTTAAGAAATAAAGACCTTATACTGAAAAAGCTGAAAAATTTAAATCAGAAATCTTGAAATTCAGGCTATTTGTTGCCATAGCAACCAGAATTTTCAACATAGGAAGAAAAAAAAAGACATGCATAATCTCCATACTGCCATCTATCCATATATCAAGTTTCATAAAAATGTTTTCAGTACTTTTTGCGTTATCGCGGGATCCAGTTTATGTGTTCAATTTGCCATATTTTCAGGCTATTTGTTGCCATAGCAACTAGAATTTTCAACATAGGAAGAAAAAAAAGACGTGCATAATCTCCATACTGCCATCTATCCATATATCAAGTTTCATTAAAATATTTTCAGTACTTTTTGCGTTATCGCGGGATCCAGTTTTGTGGACGGACGGACTGACAGACAGACGGACAGACAGACAGACAGACGGACGGACGGAGGGTAAACCTAAAGTCCCCTCCGGTTAAATCGGTAGGGGACTAATAAATGAATTGCGTTATGTACGTATTCTTATGTCACACTGGTTATCAAGTAAAAAAGTTACATGTATTAGAATTAGCAATTTAAAGGTTCAATTTATAAAACCGTCACTCTATTTTAAAAGTCAAACACTCACTATTTGTTTCAGAAACTGATGTCTTTCTTCTTGCAAGAACATTTGCAGTGGCTCCCATAAGTACTGTGATAAAAGGTAAAAACAAAACAACTACAGCATAGAAAATTAACATGGGACATCTATCTGCCACTAATATCAAAGCCATCGCTGGGACATAAACATCGCACTCACTTGTGGCAATGCGCAAATGGCCCTTTATATATAGAAGCGTAAAATAGCTTATTATTAGAGTGTAATGAAAGGGAAGGTCTCTGAAAAAAATATTTAACGTCATATATTATTTTCTGCAATTTTATGTAAAATTTGACCGATTAAGACACAATTCTTTGACCACTGACGTGTATTTGTAAAGCAATTTCAGTCTCACTAGTTGTAACCTGTAATGTATAGCCTACGAGCTGAGGGTCATTTAAGCAATTCTTTGTCCAAATTTGAAACTTACTTATATAATGCACATCTGAATATGCGGAAATTCACATATAAATCTACGATGCTCAATTTTGAAAACCATATGTGGTTCCACCCCCCGTGAAGTTGACTCATGAGTTTGAAAATACAGAATTTCTATTACCACATCTTTTATCTTATCTATTTTGTGACTGTGTAAAGAAATTTTCAGGTACAGTGTATATGCTTCGGTAATATTATTTCGTTCAGACAGCGTAGGTTCACCATTGTACGACACTTAAGTTAGGCATTTTATTCAATATTATAATGCATGTATTGGAATACTATTTAATCTATTTAATTACGTTTCAACGGTAATGTTTGAGGAGCAAACGTGATTTAGAAACCAAGCGGTTACTTACGTCTTGTACTATTTTTTGGGCTTCACAGAGGGTAGATACATTATTAGATGAACGTAAAGCGTGAAGCAGTGTCTTGTTCAACTTTTTGGTAAAAACGACCCGCTTTCCTTCGTCGCCAGATAAATACTTGCCAATTATCCTGATAGAAACACAAAATTACATCTGTAAATTAAACATTTGATAGCAAGCCACAATATTCTTCAAAAAAAAATAATCGGAAGTTACATTTTTAAAAGGTTGTATGAGGTTAATAATACATTGTATACGAAGAAGTAAATATGGTTTTTAACCAGGTTTTCCGAAGGAAAAAAACTGGTTATTAGATTGAGGTATGTCGGCGGGCGGGCGGGCGGGCGGGCGGGCGTAAACAATTTCTTCTGTGCGCAACTCCTCCTTCATTTCTCAACGGATTTTGACCCAAACTTTCACAGAAGCTTTGTCATCAAGTGCCCTGGCGCATATTGTCGGGGTTTTGCGATTAGATAATATTTGACCTAATTATGGCCCTTTGTTTTTTTCCTTATATAAAAATATATAGTGAACAATTTCTTCTGTGCGCAACTCCTCCTACATTTCTCATCGGATTTTGACCAAACTTTTTCTCAGAAGCATTTTGTCTTTTTTTTTTTGTTTTTTTTTTTTATTTTTTTTTTGTTTATATCTTTTTGTTTTGCTTGTGGGTTTTCAAGTGCTCCTGACACATATTGCCAGGGTTTTGCAATTGGTATATATTTGACCTAATTATGGCCCTTTTGTTTTTTTTCCTTATATAGAATATATAGTGAACAATTTTCTTCTGTGCGCAACTCCTCCTACAATTTCTCAACAGATTTTGACCAAACTTCTCAGAAGCTTTGTCATCAAGTGCCCTGACACATATTGCCAGGGTTTTGCAATTGGTATATTATTTGACCTAATTATGGCCCTTTTTTTTTTTTTCCTTATATAGATATATAGTGAACAATTTCTTCTGTGCGCAACTCCTCCTACATTTCTCAACGGATTTTGACCAAACTTTTCTTAGAAGCTTTTTTATCAAAGTGCCTGGCACATATTGTTGGGGTTTTGTGATTTGATAATATTTGACCTAATTATGGCCCTTTGTATATTTTTTCCTTATACAGAATATATAGAGAACAATTTCTTCTGTGCGCAACTCCTGCTACATTTCTCAACGGATTTTGACCAAACTTTCACAGAAGCTTTGTCATCAAGTGCCCTGGCCCATATTGTCGGGGTTTTGGGATTGGATAATATTTGACCTAATTATGGGCCCTTTGTTTTTTTTTCCTTATATAAAATATATAGTGAACCAATTTCTTCTGTGCGCAACTCCTCCTACATTTCTCATCGGATTTTGACCAAACTTTCTCAGAAGCTTTGTCATCAAGTGCCCTGACACATATTGCCAGGGTTTTGCAATTGTATATATTTGACCTAATTATGCCCCTTAGTTTTTTTCCTCATATAGAATATATAGTGAAACAATTTCTTCTGTGCGCAACTCCTCCTACATTTCACATCGGATTTTTGACCAAACTTTCTCAGAAGCTTTGTCATCAAGTGCCCTGACACATATTGCCAGGGTTTTGCAATTGGTATATATTTGACCTAATTATGGCCCTTTGTTTTTTTTCCTTATACAGAATATTATAGTGAACAATTTCTTCTGTGCGCAACTCCTCCTACATTTCTCAACGGATTTTGATTAAACTTTCTTAGAAGCTTTGTTATCAAGTGCCTGGCACATATTGTTGGGGTTTTGTGATTGGATAATATTTGACCGAATTATGGCCCTTTGTATATATTTTCCTTATACAGAACATATAGAGAACAATTTCTTCTGTGCTCAACTCCTCTTACATTTCTCAACGGATTTTGATTAAACTTTCTTAGAAGCTTTGTTATCAAGTGCCTGGCACATATTGTCGGGGTTTTGTGTTTGGATAATATTTGTCCGAATTATGGCCCTTTGTATATTTTTTCCTTATACAGAATATTATAGTGAAACAATTTCTACAGTGCGCAACTTCTCCTACATTTCTCAATGGATTTTGACCAAACTTTCACAGAAGCTTTGTCATCAACGTGCCCCTGCGCGCTCACTAAATTCCCATGATTTCTTCCAAGACATCATTCAAGTTTTTTTTTTAAATTGTGAAACATACTTTTCTTGATATCGCCACAAAACACCCACACACCAATATTGTTGACAAAAGAAAATGACAAGAGACGCAAAAATGCAAAAATAAAGAAATACTGTTTACCTTTCTAAAACATTTGGAAAAAAAGGCGAATAGACAACATAAAAATTTCTCAATCATTTTTGTTTGAGGAATACTAAAAAAGCCATAATTCCTCCTAAAAGTTCAATTAAAAACAAATGCCCCTTCATGACAAAGCTTCTGTGAAATATTTTGCTGAAAACCTGGTTGCATCGCATTGCGATGTTTCTTGTTTTTATTGTTTTTCTTTTTCAAAAATATACCAGAAGACATATGCAATGTTATTTTTAGAACAAATTCCACACATGGTTCTCGCAAACAAAAACAATGCATGACCTTTCACCCAGACAATTAGAGATATTGCACTTGAGAAACAAACAGTTATTAATTAACACGGCATGGAAAGTAAATACGACGATTTTATCAATATGCTTCGTAAATGGTTATGTGCAGAAAATACGTTGTTAAACACAGTTTATACTGACAGGTTAACAAGCATTTGCCCTCATTGGTTGACCATATCCGTTAGTAAATGATCATCTGTGTCCAGATATTTTCTGATATCTGTCCAGAATCCCAAGTATTGCAGATGTTGATGCTGGTTGTTTTCGTTCCAGAAATGTTTCGGAACGGGCAGCATCGCGAGCGTATCAGACCCAAGACACCAGACCATCCAATTGCCAGTCTCCCGGTAAATTGCCAATCTCCGCCCGCTGCTTTTCCACCAAGGTACGAGACAAAAGGACATTTGGAGGACTTTTAAATGCATCCCTGTTTATTACAGCAGTCGGAAGCTGCTTCTGGTCGTCCCACTTCCGTTCTCGGAACAAATAATATCCGGTCGAAATGGAGAGGGTGTCCGTAAAGGAGGAAATTTAACAGGACCTGTCGTATAAACACATAGTTTTGTGCTGTCCATTATGCATACATGAACACGCTCTTTTGATTATATTCTTAGATTTGATATATGAATATATAACAAATATTACGCCTAGGTTAACAAATAGTACAATAATTATATATAACAATTTGCATGAAATGACAAATGTTGTGGGTTCGAATGAGATTATATCGTTTTGGAGACGTTAAATTTCGTCACCTTAGTGCAGCAACGGATCAAGTCCTTCAAAATTTTATTGGAGTTAACCAGTTATTGCATTAATGTGATATTAATATCATTCAATAAATTTGATTTTCCTCAGGGTCTTTCAAATTTAAAAGACCCTGTTGTCACAGCAATGGAAAAATACTTAATAAAATCATTTTGATCAATAATAACAGAAGAAAAAGGCTCTTCAATAATATCACATGGCATGTGTTAACATCGCCATTGCCTGTTATAAATCCCTGTTACATATACAAATGTTTTTATACCTCCCCACAGCGACAAAAAGATCAGCTGGGTCAATTTTTGTTTCGGCCATTCGTTCAACGTCCTCATCGGAAAGCGATGAAAAGTCGCCTGCTGACTTGACACTAATACCGTCGAAGCCGGTGAACTTATCCTTGAATTTTGATAAATCGTTGGGAATTTGTACCGACAACGAAGTCGTCGTGCATGTTCCAGTGATTCTTTGTCAACCGGTGCAGGCCTCTTTAAAATATCAAGACCTTCCTAGAATTGAAGAAAAAAACGTACGTGTATTATAAATATAGCCATCTGTTATTCTGATTTATATATATACAAATTAAAGGGTCCGAGGCTATATATATAGAAATTATTGAAACTCAAACTCATATCTTTTAGGTATTTGATTGGTCAATAACCGTTCACAGAATGTACACTGACCAATGAAAATTCTGAGATTTGAGCTAAAACTCAGGAAATAATTTTTATAACCTGGACTTTGCTTCACCGTCTAAACGTTATTTTGGTGTCTTTCTTTATATATTTGCTTGTGTGTTGTTGTTTTTTATTTGTTTTTTTTGGTCTGCCGGTGGTGTTAGTATAGGTTAGTGTTTATTAGTAAGCATTTACAAAACTAATTTGGTCATGAACAGCGCAGTGCCTAGTGTTTGAATTTATTTTTTACAGTTTGCCGATTTACCAAAGTAAATTTGTTATGATTCGTCTGAAATACTGCAATCTTCTTGGACTGAAATTAATATCAAAAACCTTATGTTTGTTTTTGGCAGAACATATATTACATGATAATAAGTTTTATAATGTTATTTTATGATATAATGTACTTAAACTTACTTTGTTCACCACTTTTAAAGTATGCAAAAGATGTCTCGGTAGCCAGTAAAACTTGAGTGCGTTTAGCAGTATCGTCTGCAACTTCAACAAAGCCGCGTCTAATTCAATCATAGCGTGGAACGTGGTGTCTGTCAACAGACTCCATTATCTTCTGTTTGAATTTCATTCTCAGGAACTAGGTCAAATTTTATTATACCTGAACCAAAGTGTGATATTTTCTTTAAGGCAAGATTTCGGTATTTGCTGTTACTTTTTCTGCGGCAATACCCGTTCTTTGACGAAAATGTTTTATAAAGGTAGGTTGTGAGATATTCAAATATAATCGACAATCGAATAATAAATTATATAACATTTCTACAGAGAGTATAACAAATTACATCAAATTAGTCATTGATTAAGAGTTCTTACTCATTCATGTAGAAAAATGTATAAGATAACTTATAACAATGGTAATAACTTACCATATAAAAGCTTTTACCTTTTATGTTCCCAGCTACCCTTGTTGTACTGCTTTCATTTGATGTAATGGTTTTTTATAGTTTCCCGGTACATTTTCTGCACTGGATCTTCTGTACGTTTCCACTCTTCTAAATCCTTCCAACACCTATAAACGTTTTCCCCACAGGGTGCCTCTCATGGATTCACGGAACAGCATCATTCCTGTGGCTGTTCCAATGACATTTTTTGCAAAGGTGCCTGTGTCTGTAAAAAATGTGTTTATTCGGTAACCCAGCCTATCTAAAAAAGCAACATCACGGACATGCCGTCAAACGTAAGATCATAACCTCGAATACAATAGTAATGTATGATACACAGACCCAATATGGTATTTCGTCCATACATACGCTATAAAAATTAAACATGTAAACAAATGCTGTTTTGTAGCAAATAAATACTTGAATTTGTCGACATAGACTTTCCATCATATCGTTTAACAAAAGTAAATTTATAGGTATAAAATTTAAAAAAACACATTATCTATTTAGACACCAAAAAGTACAACTAAGAAAAACTCCGGGTGACGATATTTAAGATTTGTTTGTCGAATTCTTTTGATTTAATAAATAATATTAAACTAATTATTCTATATTTTCAACCGGCTTCTCAAAAAATACATTCTAAGACGACTACATCATCTTCATCACATCAAGAAGAACTACTTTTAATCGTATCGTATCCGAGATGATTATTGATAATCCAGTGTGGTGTTCCGGATTGAGGTTGTTTATCATCATCATAGGTAAGACATTTTAATTTATTTATCATGTACATACATGAAAAAATATACTGAATATGAAAAAAGTGATTTTCTCAACGATGACCTTATATAACAAGTCAAAACCCGTTCCACAATATAGCTTATATCAAAACTTTGTTCAAATTACACATTTTCAGAGCCTTAACGTACATGTATTTTTAAATTTGTATAAACTTTTTATTATACAAAACAGTAGCCTGATCTAGAACTGGGCATAGACAGACATGAATAAGATTTTTTATAACAGTGAACATAAAAGTATAATAATTCTATAAGAGATCAAAGGCTTTTGCATACAGTGAACGTATCTGTTTTCGAAATGGAATAGATGGTCAAATATAAGTTTTGTTTTAATTTGTGTTTTTCTTTTTATAGTTTGTATGAAATGCTATAATTTAGTGGTGTATAGCCATGAAGATATTTTACAAAATTTGCATTTATACAATTATGGGAACAAAGGTTCACACGTAAAGGCGGCATTTCAAATGAACGCAGCTGACTGATACCATTTCCTGTAAGTGCGGTAGAATACAAGAAATTGTAAACGTACTGCATAAAATATACATGATGGTAACATCAAGTCAGCCAAAAACATCAATATGTAATATTTCATATTAAAGAAGCAATATCATGTGATAATATACAATTTACGTACTTTCAAGGTTCACACCAGCAAGCTCGAACTTTGAGTCTAGTAGGAGCACGCATAAGCAATATTCCGTGTATAATCCAGATTTCTTGAATTTTGGCATTCTTTCTGCTACACACAGCCATCTCAAAACTTCCCTTTTGTCCATGTAAAGCTACAGTGATAAGTTAAATAAAAATCTTTATTTGGATTTGTACCTAAACAAAAATAACCAATTGGCATTATCACAAAGATTTTAGGTGTATTCCATTGGCATTATCACGAAGATTTTAGGTGTTATCACGAAGATTTTAGGTGTATTTCATTAGCATTATCTCAAAGGTTTTGGATGTATTACTTTGGTATTATCACAAAGATTTTAGGTGTAGCACTTTAGTAGTATGTCAAACGTTTTAGATTATTTCTTTGGCATTATCTCAAAGGTTTTGGATGTAGCACTTTGGCAGTATGTCCAACGTTTAAGATGCATTTCTTTGGCATTATCCCAAAGATTTGGATGTATTACAAAGATTTTAGGTGTATTTTTTTCGCATTATCACAAAGATTTTGGATGTAGCACTTTGGCATCATCTCAAATGTTTTGGATGTAGAATTTTGACAGTTGTTTGGATTTATTTCTTTGGCATTATCTCAAACGTTTGGATGTATTACTTTGGCATTTCCTCAAATGTTTTAGGTGTATTTCTTTGGCATTATCTCAAAGGTTTGGATGTAATTCTTTGGCATTATAGTTGGTTAAAGGCCCATTATGCCCAAGAAATGCTTTATTTTTTATTTTTCAAAAGCTTTTTATACTTGCTATACTTTCATAGTTTCCAAACATCTTCTCATTGGCCAATTATCTGATCTACCTTTTTCATATGTTACCTTTTAGGCAATTACTACAGTTATTCTGATTTGGTATTGTGTATGGAAGTCAAAATATTACTTTATCTACATTTTACTACTTTTATGACAAATAATTTCACATTTAGCGCTATTTTCCATCGTTAGCAAGCATCTAAAACAATTATTTAAACTTTAAAAAATTCATGTTTGACCTTTCTTGAAAGTAAAAATTCATTTGAGCCGTGTCACGACAAAACCAACATAGTGCGTTTGCGACCAGCATGGATCCAGACCAGCCTGCGCTACCGCGCAGTCTGATCAGGATCCATGCTGTTCGCTATCAGTTTCTCTACTTGTAATAGGGTTTGTAAGCGAACAGCAGTCGCAAACGCACTATGTTGGTTTTGTCGTGACGCGGCTCATTTGTTTCTGAAGCATAATGTGCCTTTAATGTTGTCCTTCATGCGTTGTTATTTTACTACTTACATGTCGTCTGTTTTTAATCGGAGGCTCGAACTCAAATTCCAGTTCTAAGAAGTTATAGAGAACGTGCTGACCAAAAACCTGTAAAAAACAAATGAATAGAAATTTTCACTGAAATATACGTGCCACTGTAACGACGACTAGAAAATCACAAACAATAGTGTAACTGTATCATTTGAAATCTAATTTACACCAGGAATATAAATGACCCATGTCATCGACAGTCAAGTTCATTAATTATAAAAATTATAAACTTTATACCAATTGAAGGCGTCAATCACTTATTTGACATAGATAGTTGAGAGTACCGGAGGAATTTGTATAAAACTCTATTTTTTGTAAAAACATTCTTAATTTTAACAACAGTAAAATTTTATTTGTTCCATAATCCTATGTTTGATTCTAGAAAGAGTTGAGAAATAGAATGGCTTTGTTACAATGTATTTAATACGTTAAAGTAATAAAATGTTTCGGAACAAAATATTATTCTCCAAGTAAAGTGTTGTGCGCACCAAAAAAACAGCAAACGTTATTTAGAATGATTTTATCTGTTAGGCAATGATTTCGTGCATGTGCCATTCGCTTTTATTGGAATTTGCTTTTCTATTTATTTCATACAAGCATTTTAAAAGTAATCTGCTTTCGGACTGAGAACTTCTGAGACCGGGTTGACTTCCGGTATTGAACTGAATATAAGCAGGATTCTTTTCATTGGTCATTTTAAAATTGCAACTGAAATCAGAAAATCTCATTGACCATTTTTAACATTAGTAAAATGATAAAAGGATATTTTTTGAAACGTGTACTTATGCAAATTAATTAATCAAAAGTAGTTTCGGAAACAATGGATTAGTTTAATTTTTGGGATATTTTCAATCAATGAACCGTGCTATCTTCCTCCTATTAAAACATTTTACGTAATTTCACGCTGTTCTATAATTTTTAGTAAATACCTAATTCAACATAAGAAACTGCTTTTAAGATTTTGTTAATTCTCTAGCGGATAACACAAGACATTTAGTATAAATGACATTCAATTTCTTTTTTGTCCGGACGAAGTCCGTCTGAGATTTGTTTGACTTCCAGTAAAATATACAGGCAAGAACTGAATAAAGGTAGCATGTCCGTTGATCATTCTAAAATGTCCTAACTTTCCTAACTTCCAAACAAATCTCAGGAGATTCGAAAAAAAAAGTTTCTAGCTAAATTTCTCGGATATTTGAGTCCTCTTTGTTCAAAATGATGAGACTACTGATAACGCCCACAATCCTGAAATTTCATGTACATAAAAATACTGAAAGGCACAAAATAAAAAAATCTGAACTTTCCTTTACTCTCAGTAGAATATGGCCAGCGTTTGTGGTATTATAATTATTGATGTGTTTAATTCATATGTATTTCATAATTTTCATATGTTATCAATATTAATGAAGCATATATTAATATATACATGAATACATATATGTACGTCATTTAGAAACATATCTTGCACTATTTCCTAAATCTAATCATTTAAATGCTATAAAAAAACAACCTCGAAACAACCTGTGCAAGCAAAAGCAGTTTTATCTCGTCTGAGTATCTTTTATTAACTATTTCTTGTTTAAAATTCAAACAATAATTTTTGCAGCAGATATATAGCTTTATACACATTAAATACTTGCTTATACATACACAGTTCCACATAAAAGAGGATATATGAAATAATTGACCATAAAAACAAATCAATATTCAGTAAATGTTTTCTAAATGAAAACAACCAATAACAAAACAAAATTCTGCTTCAAATGAGGGTGTATAGTTGTCAATTATATATTAATATATCAAAAACTAGAAAAATAATAAAAGTACAACATGCCGGTTATGGTAATTACATATCATTTAAAAGGTTATGTAAGTTTTTAGTATACAAGTACATGTATGTTACTTACATGCAGACAAAGGAAAATATTGAGATAATCCACGAAAGCTCTGTTCTGCAGAAGAATGGTCAGTTCCTCGAAATCTGCCGCGGTTGGACCTAAAATAAAGCACTATCTTGATAACGACAGAATGTATAATAGTTATGACATTTCCACCGTAGGGAACGTGTTACAGTATCGCGTTTTTCGGTTACAGTATAGAATTTTAAAGATGGAGGATTATTTGTTGGGAAGAGAGGTAGGTGATTTTTATTTCGGTCCATACTACAAGTAGTTTAGTTTCTAATAGATGTTTTTGTGCTTTGCTTGTAAGGAACAGAATCCGGTATCTAGTCATATATTTCTTCAGACCCTGCTCCGCAGATTTATCGCTATATTGTCTCAAAAATATGCAGATTTGACAGTTTGAAAATTTGAATCGAGAGACCACACATTTTTCTGCAATTTCGACATTATTTATGCATGCCTAGAAAAAGTAATCAGCAAAACGTTAGTCCTTTATGTTAGGAAACGTTTATAAAAGTAAATGACCAGTTGAACCTATTTTCCTGTTGGTAAAATGCGTTTGAAAAAAAAACAATGTTACAGTATAGAGCGAGGTAATTTGTGCAGGGTTACAGCATAGACCTAGCGATTTGTATCCGATTTTGTTACAGTTTATACCCAGATTTCGGTTACAGTTTAGACTTCGATATTTTCTATATAATTATACTAGGTAAAATGTATGAATGTTACATAGACTTTTAAATCTCTGTGAGCTATTGGCCCGATGGCTATTCGTCCGTCTGTCGTACACATGTGTGTGCAATCTCATCCTTTCAGTAACTACTTGACTAAATGTGATGAAATTTACATGACTTTTTACCAATTAAGTTGTTCAAATGGTTTCGGTTGCAATCGGGGATACGAAAACCCAAAACATAGATTTTGAAAAAAAGGCAATGTTTAAAGACCCTTCTCATCTCGAACCAAAAGCATTCAAATCAAATCATGATCATGGCGTCATTTCGAATGCTTCTTTGTTGAAGTTACGATTATTTTGTCATTATTAAATTAAGTCGTTTTTTCTTATTTCAGACATTCTGTATAGCAGTTTTAAATTCATGTTTCTGAAAAAAAAATAATATTGAAAGTTATAGAGTATAAATTAAGGTCAGACAATTACAATATCTTCTCTAGTGAGCCTGATGTATGTACATAATAGTGGCAGAGTCGGGATAAGGCCGTCGACTTCAAATCATCTTTCATTTACTGCTGTAGTTGAAATCCAATCATGACTTTGGATTCCTCTTATGTGAGGAATCTATCAAGCTAATTTACGGAAGGTCGGTTTTTCTAGTCAGGCGCTCGTGTCTGAAATGTTTCACAAAGGGATCTGGGGTCTTTCTTTACACTAAAGCAGAAATGTTTTCACATGACCTCAGTGTCGTTGAAACTTAAAATCCAAGAAAGCCAAACGTAACAAAATAGAATTAAACAGAATCCCTAAAGAAATTCCAACACAACAAAATTGAAAATGTTCATAAATCCTTTTAAATACTTACAAAATACATTATGGTAGATGGAAATTCCAACTTAAAATAGAATTTAAGGTTGCAACTAGTATTGCTCACTTAAATACTGTTTAATCATTCCTAGAGTATTGCCTGCTTGTTAATTATGTCTTTTGACAGCTTATCTATGGTATGCAGGCTTCATAACCTCCGATCTCCTCTCAAAATTGAATTTTGTTTAGTTTCACTCATTGTATTCTTGTTTAGGGCACACACAAGTTTTAACCTGGGGGGTAATATGCCGCTTTTCATAGAATGGTAATAACGTGTCACATTGAAGGTTCCATGATAACCGCCATATGAACACATCCACAGATGTTAAAAAATCTGAAGTGTACCAGTTCATGTTTAATGTGAATTCTGCTGAAGCCGGTGCTAGGAGGCGTGAACGGTAGCTTGCAGTTACCACTTTCGTCCATGAACAGGTTTAGTCAAACTGAGCCTGCAACATTTTCATGTTTTCCGTGTTGGACTTCTGTTAAGGATTCTTTTTCTCTATTTTATTACTAATAGGCATTATTATAATGTGTAATGAAAACAAGCAATACTCTTTCTTCTCTCATTACAATTCGATAAAAGTTACTGTTGTTGTTGTGAAAACAGTCCTTACTTAGGACATTACTTATTCTGCAAAAAGTCTCAATCTGAAACTTAAAGTAAGAAAAATAGCAAACTATAACTTTTCTGCTGAAGAAAATAGGTAATACATGTACAACCTTTCAAGAATGTATGTAGAAAGGTATGAGTTATTTCATAAAAATAATGGATACACGAACTTTGTTTGAAATTTGGCAAGTATCTAAACTGTAACAGAAATTTGGGTATAAACTGTAACAAAATTGGATCAAAGTCGCTAGGTCTATGCTGTTACCCTTCAAAATTAACCTCGCTCTATACTGTAACATTGTTTATTTTTTTCAAACGCATTTTACCAACAGGAAAATAAGTTCAACTGGTCATTTACTTTTATAAACGTTTCTAAACATAAAGAACTAACGTTTTGTAGATTTACTTTATCTAGGCATGCTTAAATAATGTCGGAATGGGAGAAAAATGAGTTGGTCTCTCGATTCAAATTTTTAAACCGTCAAATCTGCACATTTATAAAACATTATAGAGATAAATCTGCGGTGCAGGGTCTGAAGAAATATGTGACTAGATACCGGATTCTGTTCCTTACAAGCAAAGCACAAAAACATCTTTTAGAAACTATACTACTAGTAGTATGGACCTGAATAAAAATCACCTACCTCTCTTCCCATAAATAATCCTCCATCTTTAAAATTCTATACTGTAACCGAAAAACGCTATACTGTAACACGTTCCCTACGGTGATTTCAGTGTAAAAAGATTATTCAAAACTTTTACAATGCGAATCGTTTTTGTTCTAGGATTTTTTCTATTCTCTTATCACATATATATTATCAATTTATCTTCAATAGCATCTTAAATAAGGGATTACATTTATACAGGTAGATAATCAAAATTCATTAATTTAATATCTGATTCCGTGTAGTTGCATTGACATGCTTGCAATACTGCGAGATAATAGTTTTTGTTTTACAAAAATTCTAAACAGCATAGAGTAAATATAGTAAATCGCCGAATAAAACATAAATGAAATTATAACATTGAATCGTATAGACACAATTAATTTAATACATACGAAAAGACCATGAAAGTTCAACGGCAAAAGAGACACATATATGTGCAACAGTACGGAATATTATAGATAAAATCTTAAATTACCGGAACATATTCAAATGTATTGCAGTAAACTAAACTTTCTTACCTTTATCTAACGATTTATCCATTTTTATTATACATTTTTTTTTGTTTTTATTTTTTTTTCTATTAATCAACGCCGGTCTTGAAATTGATAACTTTTCAAACTGCCGCTTTCTTCATAGAAACAACGTTATTTACGCGTCGCTAGCGACGTCATACTATCAGTGACGTATTTGTACGTTATAAACGTCAGATCGTCTGTCCGCCTTAAAGCAGGCGTACGAGAATAACAATAGACGTAGTGTAGATGAAGAATATTTTATCAGCATGGAGACTGCATTTTTTAAATGTTCTTCGATGTGACAAAGTTTCCAAACAGGACAGGATTTGAAAATGGACTATTTTAAACGATTTAAGATATTCTTATGAACATAATTATGAAGTCTGCCATGGTCGCCCGGTTGTTTTCATATTGTTGTGAGTGTTGAACATATTTTTAAAATAGTTTAGTTTAGTCAACCATGATCAACCGTGGTAAACCGGCGTTTGGTCGTTGAAATTCCGTGAAGTAAAGGGACAAACCATGGTGAACCGGAACAAACTGAGAGATCACCACGGTTGTCTTCAAATGTTTAATACAACCGGGGCTCACCGGCACTCACCGTCCGTGTTCTATCGGCTTGGAACAGGGAATTGCCGGAAAACCACCGTATCTATACTGCATCCATACCGTGACAAATCGTAGTAAACCGGGATGCGTGTCAATCAATGTCCAAACGGCAAAGTCCCGGTGATGACACGATGTTGCCACGGAAAAACAGGCAGAGCTACGGTAGAGCCAAGGTACATTGAGGTCACTGGCAACAACGCTCCGGTTGGAGCCGGTAATGTCCCGGATATTGCAGACAAGTACGGTTATACAACGATGATAGACGGTGGTGTAACGACCTCATGCCGATACAGGAATTTTAAAGAACAGGAATATATAAACTTGAAGTGCTACTTTGGATCATTTTGTTTAGAGAAGGAACACGAGCATGGACAATTTGTTAAATGAAAGAAGGAAAAATTCTTCAGCTGGTGCATTTTCAGCTTCAGGTACCTCTGAAGGTCTTGTAGACACAGTTTTTTTCTAACTTCCATCCCCTTTCCTTCGGATGGCATCTCTGCTGGCTTTTTATCAAATGACTGATGTCAACGTGGTCAGTCAGTTTTATTCTCATAAACTTGAAACGGCTCGGGTTATATTTACAAATAGCCGTTTATATAGGGCCATATAACCTGTCAACAATCTTTATAACTAATAATATAAAAGTAAAATGCATTTCTAAAGGAATTAAGATGATCTTGAAAGGTATTTCTCCCTTTTTATATTTTTCCACAAAACCATCATAAATATTCATTTCAATCTTGAAATATTGATTGAATATCAAGACAAAAATTTTCTTTTAACAGCAACGGCAAATACGTGAAAAACATGCACAGTATGAAATGCACGGTCAACACGAAAATCGACAGACAAGCTTGGTCTTATTCGAAATGGGAAATGTTTTGGGCCATTTTGAAATCTTGCATTTAGCATTCGTATAGTACTCCTTGATCATTTAGTATTCCTCACAGGTTTGCCGATCCGCGGTCGGGTGTTAGATATGAGCGAATTTCACTATTAGCAGATATTATCATGTTGAGTAAGCAGATGTCAAAATTAGAAAACGTACAGATAATTTAGTACATTTTACCATTTGTCAAACACTATTTACGCTTGGACATCATGGCAAGTAATATTTTACTCGTCAAGTCGCTTTATACTATGATTGATTCGGAAAATTTCATTAAATAAGAAGAGTTTTTTTTTAATCATACTGTCAGAGTTCTAATCAAGTTTAAAAAAACCTTGATTTTAATAACTGTCAAATAAAAACAATGACTTATAAAAACAAAAACTTTAATATAGACATAAAAATTCATAGCCCTATTTTAATTTTACAAACCATGAATCAGCAAAGAAGAACTCTTGCTGAGATTTGAACTCAGAACTCCTCTTATGTATGTGATACAATAAAGAGGCATTTTGACAATTAAACTACAAGAGCTTAAAACTTACTAACCATATTAAAAGATTAACATTCTTCCTACTTTTTTGCATCTATATATAGTTTTCAAATAGCCAAAAACTGGCCAAAATTCATAATTTTATCCTGAAAATTCTTTTTTAAAACTTATTTAAAGGATTTTTCAGAATCATTTCAACTATTTAGTAACGTTACATAAGAATTAAAAAAAAAAAAACAAAAACAAAAAAAAAACACACACACACTTAAAATGTTTCTTTTTCATATGAATACACATTTCTAAAATATTTTGTAAAATATTGTCAATTTTCTATTCCTTATGGTTTTTATTTTACCAATCTAAGGCATGAGCTGTTCTGATGAATAAAATAACAACACTAAATTGAATTATCATCAAGAATAAATTCTGTCATGTACGTAAATTTTGCTTATATAGGAGAAGCAAGTAAATGACTGCAAATATTGTGTGAAAATGTAACAAATTTGAAAAAAATTACGGAACTAAATTTCAACATTGGTACTGTGACGTCATATGATGACGTCTTGAAAAAGAACGCATGACGTTATGTGGCAAAACAAGTAAAAATGACTTAAAATCACTAAAAAGACTGGTTTGAAAATTTTGCTTGTAAAATATATCAGAATGATAAGAACTAGTCGATAACAGAAAAAATCGATAACAGGATAAATAGAATGATTGGTCCTATGGATGGAAAACTATCTGACCAAAGGCTCACCCAATAAATTTCCCCGTCTCGCCAGATCCAAGGCACCAACCTATTAATTATTCTCTATCACTTCAGACATCAAGAAAATGGTGAACAATGCAATCAAAAATGTAAAAATGTTTAGTGATATGTAAAATAACATTGATAATACAAATACAAGATTCACTTCTCCCCCTCTGCTTTTACCATGGCTTGGGACATGCTAGAAGTTAAAACTGCACACATCCAGATATTTTACTTTCTTCAAAAGTCAATCAAAATTTAGGAAAAGTAAAAAAAACAGATATGCATACTTCTTTGATTCAATTCAAAATTAGCTTATTACAAAATTTAAAAAAAATTGTTATATTAATTCTGACCACTTATTAAAGGAATAATATTAACCCAATGTTACAAATATTTTAATACATAAAAGGAAATAAATATAACTCTTACTAATGACTTAATAGAATTTTTGTGTAGTTTTCTGAACTTCAAATCTAAATATTTAACTTAATGATGGAACATATAATTATTTTCATTTAAAACAATATGAATCTGGAAGTGTGCTGATTTACAACTAGGCAGCATTGGGAGAAGTGTAGCGATTGACCTTTTTGACACATACTGTTTTCCGGTAGTTACAGATTTAGCTCTGGGGGATTACACCTAATGAATATATACGCCTTATGAAGTTTATAGAGGATATTCAAATTTTTTTTATAAATACACAATTTATTTCACTGAGTGGTATAAAAACAAATATTTCATGAGTGGCTACCGCCACGGGTGAAATATGATAATTTTCATACCACAAGATGAAAATAAATCCTGTATTATAGAAAAAGACTTGAATTTTCTGTTTATTATATACTTTTTTTTATATTAAAATTTGAAAGATTACTTCTTAAATTTTGTTCATTGGCTGAATTTAGAAGAAAGTAATCCGGCAAGACACAAGTAAAAATATGTAAAATATGTTTAACTGCAGTGAAAAATATATCTTTTACAGTGAAAAATACGGAAAATAAAATACAAATTTTATTTCATATTTTATTTATCAGTATATAATAAACACCATTATTATGTGATATATCTATTTTTTATAATTATTTTTAAGGTTTCAGGTGGTTACTACCTATCGCATATTTTACACATTTGAGCCGCGTCATGACAAAAACAACATAGTGGGTTTGCGACCAGCATGGATCCAGACCAGCCTGCGCATCCGCGCAGTCTGATCAGGATCCATACTGTTCGCTTACAAACCCTATAACAAGTATAGAAACTGATAGCGAACAGCATGGATCCTGATCAGACTGCGCGGATGCGCAGGCTGGTCTGGATCCATGCTGGTCGCAAACTTATTGTGTTGGTTTTGTCGTGACGCGGCTCATTTATTTGTTGATGTTGTGTTAGAATTGAAATAAGATATCCAAATCAGTGATTTTAAAGCTTGATAAAATAATTGTTTGTCATTTAGATGTGCTCATTATATCACTCGGGCTATGACCTTGTGATATTATCACATCCAAACTCCAAACAGTGTTGTTTAGCTATAAAATCACCGTTTGAGATATATTATTTCTTTAAGTTTAAGCAGAAAATCTCATTTTATTTCATGGAGTTATTCATACAATGATATTCTAATTATTTCTAACAATGAAATAATTGTTTTACTTCACTTTAATCCCAAAAAGGCCTAAAACATACAGATTGTTACATTATTACACAACATTTAGGTGAATTCCCGAGAGCTATGTACTGAAAGTACCGGAAATGGTGTTTAGCTAGTTTTTCAAATTATTAACCTTTGATTGAAGCTCTGAAGAATGGTAAGTCTGTCACTGTACAGTCTATAGTTTATAAAGTCGTGCGTTTTGGTTTTGCTACACATCCCCCACCATTCCATAATCAGAGCTTCAATATCCAATATCCATGTCTGACCAATAACCGGAGAAAGTTTTGGTCAATGATTGGGCTTTTAAAGTTAATCATGCCAAGAAGTTAAAGAAGTTGATTGGTCAACTAGGGAAAGCCATGGCTTATGGTCTTCAAATGAGGTGGTCAGGTTAGTAATGACTGGTAGATTTATCATTGATTAAGTTCAAGTGAAGGTAAACAGCATCATAAAGGTGTTTAGATAAATAATTCAGGAACACTTTGACCAATTAAGATTAGATGTACAGGTTTGTCATGACTAGAAGATGTCTGGTCAATAAGTCGAGAACATTGTAAAAATAAGTAAAATAGATGAGTAAAGATAAATAGAAGTCAGAACAGTTTATTAAAGAAATAACATTAAAACCCGCATGGTCTGCACTTCCCCTTCATGGTAGAACTGGCCTAAAAGTGTAGAACAGTTGTTAAAGATAAAAACACTATATAAAATTGAGCTGAAATAGAAAAAAAATTAAAGTAGATAAACTGCATGGTCTGCACTTCCCCTTCATGATGGACCTGGGCAAAAAGTGTAGAACAGTTGT